GAGGTCTCAGATTCATTACTCAGCCTATAGATCCCCCATCCCTTCAGGCAATTACTAATACAGTGACTTGTCCTTTATTACATGGGAGTATGTGATTTAAACTCCTACAATATTGGGCTACCAGCTGCTTCATAAGTACAGCAGTATGCTACTGTGACATGGCCAGCTGGGTTGCATATAAGCAGTGACTGGTTGGTAAGATAAGTGCTAATGATAAATGTGTATAGGAAATATTTCTGCAGTAGAGGGTTACTGTGAAGAAGCAAGTTTTACAGAATTGTGATTCATAGGCTGTGAATCGTGGAGACTCATACCCTTGGGAGGTTGGTGCCACTGTGCAAGCTGTAATGGAGGAGCTGGGTTACTGTAATCCATACAGTCTGGTGTGGCAGTCAAAAGTAGGACCTCTCCCTTGGCTGCAACCATCCACTGATGAAGCTTTGAAAGGTAAGATTAAACTATATCATTTTTTCATAATTTCAGTTGTTTAGTGTGTGTAGTGCTGTCAAGTCCAGAAATTATTGTATTATATTTCTGTGCTCCTTAATATTAAAACTTTCTTAATTTTTTATTGTGGTTGTGTGGATCAAAAAAGAGTTTGTGAACAACAGTTTTTATGGAGAGAATTTTACTTACAGTGGTATAAAAATACATTTTCCAATAAATAACATGTAGGATTGTATGTTTTCCTTGGTTTGTCTAAGTAAATGCTATAGTTTTACTTCATTGTACTTGAACAAATAATGGCTTATGACCTCTTTTTTCCCCTTTATCTTTCCATTTTTATCACTACATCATTGTAATATGTGATTTTATAAACTGTAATGGTTGATCCCTTACCTATAGTTCCATTTCTTGTGTAACAACAGTAACCTTGGTGTGTTTGTGTGTGGTCCATAGTGATTATAGTTGAGGCTAAGACCAGTTTGGGCTATGAAACAAATAGAATTGAATCAATACTGTATATATAAATGTGGTATGTTTTAAAACATTTGAATCTCTACATAGGTATTAATGTAGAAATAAACAGATTGAAAATGTTTAATCCATCCAACTTTATGTAATAGACATTTCTATTAATGCTTGAGGAAACCCAAGCCATCACTAGGATTGGGGAAAATCAGGCTGAAACTAGTATGGGAGGAGAACCCAGACAGTTGCTAGGGTGGGAGAAAACCCAAAGTTCTAGGCAGTGAAGCTAGATAGCTGTTTGTTAAGCTATTCCTGTTACACTGGGGTCAAAACCCAAGATGTTGCTAGGATGTGGGGAAAACTCATACTAAGATATTTCTTGTTATGCAGACTGTTGACATGAAATACAAACAAGGATTAACTCAAATGCTCTTGCCAGGATGCAGGGGAAATCAGACTAAGGCATGTGAACAATCATAATATCTGTATGATGTTGATAGTTGTGCTTAGGTGACAAAGAATGCAAATGAGGCTTCACTCAGGAAATAGTTTGGTTTGTAGGTTAGATTGAGAAGTTATATTATGTTATCAACTCTTTACCCTAACATTAATGTTTTCAGATGTTTTCCTCCACTCCCATCCATTTTTCTAAGCTATGGTATCAGCTTATTTGGCATCACTGTTCCCTTTGAAAATTGTAGCAAGGGTATTAGAACAACTGCTCATAGTATAGTACTGATCATTCAGTGGTGTACATTTCATAATGCTGCAGTTGTAAGCTACATTTTGGTTTGATAAATTGGAAAAAGGATGGCCTAACCTCTGCCTAATGTGGCACATTATGGGACTGTTTTTGTATTTACATAATGACTATAGTAATTTCCTTTTCGTTTTGTTCCAGGCTTTGTTAAACAGGGAAAGAAGAACTTTATACTTGTTCCAGTTGCATTTGTGAATGAACACATTGAAACACTTCATGAGCTGGACATTGAATACTGTAGTGAATTGGCAATGGAGGTATGTTTCGTTAGTTGTTGAACGGTTAGAATACAGTGTGATCCAATACAAGGTAGTGCCTAGATTGTAAGCCATCTGTAAGTACTTTATTCTCGCTGTACATAGCTATACATAGAATAATTATTTTGCATATTAAAGCAAATTATCATAAAGTATGTGACGGAAGTATGTAAGTTATACTTCTTCATGATACTAATGTTGTGCTATATATTATTGTTTTGTTAGAATTGGTCATGGTGTCTAAAAAGATCAAAGGATGTGCACATGTGTGTAACATGCATAAAAGTGCACATTCACTCACTAACTCACGCTTAATATTTTGCTTCTTTTGCTTTTACAGCTTGGTATCAAAATGATTCGCCGGGCTGCAGCACCCAATGATCACCCACTCTTTATTGATGCTCTTGCTGATTTGGTAAAAAATCACTTACATAGTAACAAATCAGTAAGTCCTAAATTCCTCACAAGATGTCCACATTGTACTAATGTTCGTTGTCACCAAACCAAATCATGGTTTGCCAAACTTTGCACATAAATGTTTCTGTGCTGTTTTTTAACCTTCTTTTATTCTACTGATTTATAAATGCTTCAGAAGATGATTATTATATAAAAGTATTCATAGGGCCTACCGTTGGAACTTTTTGGTTCACCTGTTAAGCAAATTGCTTATAACAGTCTAAATCCCCAGTTCTGTAATATCTGATCCCAATATTGTTAAAGGAGCATTGGTATACATTATCAGGTTTAATGGAAATTAATTTAATTTATATCAGTGGTTGGAATACTTAAGAACAGTAACCACATAACCTAGACTCTCTGTAATTATAATATAAATATTTTGTTTGTTAGCTATTTGGTTTTGGTGATTTTAATGATAAGGGAAGGTTTTTTTGAAACCTTTTTTTTATATATTTCTGTATACTCAATTTATGCAGGTTTTGTTTATTTGTTGTGTTTTACTTTGCTCTCTTTTTCATGTTTTCATAACTGTTCTGTTACATGTATAAGTTTCAAAAGTAGTACAAAAATATAACTGCTCACAAGAATTAAAAAGGCTCAAAATGTGATAATTACATTTATATTTGAACAAAGAGAACAAAATTTTTTGTATAGCAGCATTCTGATTACCATAATATCTGGAAACAATGTGCATTTTGCTTTATTTGGGTGATAAAAAACATCCAAAACCTTGCTAACCTACAAATTTGTCTTCCTGCAAATAATTGCAAAGGATGAACATTACCTATATATAAATGGAAATAAATAAAATGAAGTCACAGGTCATAAATAATACCAATGATAAAATTATAACTGAAAAGATTGAATGTTTGAAGGACTCAATGAGAATACATATGCAGGCAACTCTCGGTTTACGAACGAGTTCCATTCCAAGACGTTGTTCGTTATGTGTATCTTGCATTCCTGAGCTTTTATGATACTCGATCGGTTCACACCATAATGACTAGCTATGTCCACCTGTTTCTGACCTCTTTCTGTCATTTTTATGATGTCTAGCTTAGTTTCTAAACTAATACTGCGTCTTTTATTACTACCACTATCAGCACAAGAACTACTATTTCGCTTTGGACCCATGATCACTTACATTTTTGAAAATATATTTTTAAGTCACCAAATGCAGAACTACACTTGACCATCTGAGATAACCTATGCAAAGCAAGTGATGATCCTATTATATTATAATGTGGGAATCACCGATTTCTTTCCTACAAGAAAACATTCTATGTGGCGTGGCATGTAAAGCAACGTTTTTTTACTGGCTAGATTAGTTTTGTTAACAAAGAACAGTTCAGTATAATTATCTGATAATTATTGTAATAAATACATTTCTTAAAATTTTATTTATTTAAATAATACAATTATGTTCACTATACACTTGGCATTTCTTTTTATAAGGAACTCTGTCTAATGGCGACATTAAGAAATTTGGAATGAATTGTGACGTTCGTTATACCGAACGTTCATAAATCGAACGTTCGTAAACTGAGAGTTGCCTATACTCCTGCATCCTTCACCCAAATGCATGATAATGGAGGACAGGCGTACCTTTGCATTCATCAAGTATACATTTCAGAGATGAGTAATGGAATTTGTGAATAAGATGATGGATCCATAATTCATTGAAAGGGTACATATTTGTGGAACTTTTAATAAGTTACGTATTATTCTTTTCCCTTTTTACAACTTTTACACTCCCATTTGCAACGTTGACACTGCTAATCTTTCTGGTGGGAGGCTAGGGTACATGGAAAACTTAAAATAAAATGATACCAAATATTGTTCCAGTGGCGGCTGGTGAGTGTGAGCAGTGGTAGTTATGCACAAGGGGAAAATATGAGAACAGTTTTTCAACACATAACAATATAAATAAATGAAAAGTAAATTTACATCAGCAGAAAGCCCATACGTGCTCGACGATGTTTTAACTATTTGAAGGTCCGGAAGAGGGCGGCCATGATGTTTTACATAACTTTTTTCACTAAAAGACAATTTACAAAAAAGTAATTTCCTGTAAATATGACACACTTCTTTTGCTCATTATCATTATTATCAGAACACAAAATAGTCAGCTCACAGAATTATTGAACACCTGAAACAAGTCTAAAACACGTGGTAACGGGCAAGGGTGTTTACTTTAAGCCGGCTGCGAGGACAGCAGCTCCGATACGCGCTCTACCAATGAACTGCCCCTCACTTTACCATCCGCCTCGCTCATTAATTTTGACCGGCTAGCCACGCTGAAATCCTTGCAGCCAGATGATAGCCCCGTTCTGCTTCGCACTCCTCGCCCGTGGATTTACGATCAGATCAGCCGATTAGTGCATAATGACAACGTAAGGGGTAATATTAAAATAATTTCAATTTTTGAAAAATTATAGGGCGTACTGAATCTGCAGCTCATGTGGACGGGACGCCACTGTAACCTAACGTAACCCAAAACAACGCAACATAATCCAACAAACAAACTTAAACGAATACAAAAGAACCGTGCCCAATAGGATCAAACACACAATGCTTAAGAACGTCCACATAACCTTCCAGCAATTCCCCAGCACTTCTACAGGATTTCTGCAGCACTTCTCCATGGCCAAAGAACTTCCGCACATCTCCAGGACTTCACCGGCACTACTCTAGGACTTTTCCAGATTTTCTCCAGCACTTCTCCAAGACATACCCACGACCATCCAATGAACACGCTACAAATTCTAAATGACACTACCTAACCGATCGTAAAACAACACAACCTTATCCAACCTATCCTAAATGACCTGCCCTTACATTACCAAACTTACCTAAACCTAAAATAACCTAACCTAACCCAAAACGCAACCTAATCCAATGTATCTTATCAAAAATCAAACTTAAACGAATCCAAAATAGCCAACCAGCACAGATTCAAACACACCGCCGCTTAATGACTTCCACATAACCTTCCAGCACTTCTCTATGAGAACTTATGCATAACTTTTCCAGGACTTCTCTGGCAATACTCTAGGACTTTTCCAGGAAAAATCCGTGACTTCTCCAGCACTTCTCCATTACATCCCCGCGACCACACGATGAACATGCTAGAAATTCTTCAGGACACAACCTAACCCATCGTAAAACAACAGAACCTTATCTAACCTAACCTAAGCAACCAAATCTTACCTTACCTAACTGAACCTAACCTAACAATTATTGTTCAATGTTGCTGGTACAACAAGAAGTCATAGGCTTAGGCATAGCACACACATGTGGTTTATATGCCGAGAAGCTATGTGAAGCTCATGAAGACTTGTCACGGGAAACGTTTCAAGAAATATGTATAATATATTATTGAGAACTTGACTACAAGTAAGTGGAACCATCAATATCAAATTGATTAATACTGAGGGATGATTATATTGTCATGGGACTTATATTGTTGTGTCAATGACATCACCTTGATTTGCCCGCGACCTCAACGATACTTGAGTATGTTCACCAAGATATATAAGGTATTTCAGAATAAAGTGTGAGAAAAATTCGTCATAGAATGACCTTGCAATTTTTAAATGGTTTCATTCAGCAAAACCAGGGTTCTTAGTGTTCTATTGCTACCGCCAGGCGCTGTGCAGCCACCGCACCGCGTCGATAATGACGCATGTTGCGGCAGAAAAACCGTAGCGGCAAAACTACCACACGTGCAAAAAAAATGAAACAGTGCGTTCCATCAATCTTCTGGGTTGTTCCGCAACAACCCAGAAGACAGAAATCTTCATACTCACGGCTGAGAAAACCTCAAATCTTACAAGGTCTAAGGTGCTGACAGTTTCTCTGAACGTTTCACCGTCTGCACTGCAGTTTTTGCTGGTGGTTATTTACTGTATTCAAATTCATACACTTCTCTAAATGGGAACTTGGTGCTTTTTTGGAATAAATGGGCGCTGCGTTGCCATTATTTGAACTGCCTGGGGAAATTCTGTGTTTTAATTCATAAATGAATTAATCGTGCCACTTTTCATCGAAGTCAGTGATTAAATTGGCCTATTACTCGAAGAATTCGTACTCATAAGGACAGCATCAGCGTCGATTACACACACATGTTTATGTGTATGAAAGAGAAAAGAACAAGACAACGGCCTTGGTATTTGTGTCGTCATGGAAGGAAATGCAAGCAGACGAATCACAATAAAGTAACAAAACCAGTCAAGCTAGGAGGAGACTCGGTGATCTCAGCAGACAACGCACAACAAACATCGAAACTGCTTGTGCTCCAGAGCATGGCTATTTCGGACTATTCAGTATGGCGATGTTTTTTAATGGTTTTGTTTGTTTTTCTCGTGTTTTATATGAACGTTTGTGAAGCCCTACAAAAATGTAAGTAGGCGTGTGCAGAATGTGAGAATAATCGACTGTTAATATTAAAGTGCATTGAAATGTAGCCTGGCAGGTGGAAATCGATATTTGATACACATTTAATCATTTTCTTTGCACGAAGTCGATGCGTATCAGTGTGTTCGTTTCCGTCCGTCTTATGATTTTCATCTCTGAAACCTTGAACGGCTTTCAGCAAAATTTAATTTTGGGAGGCCATGCTACAAGTTAGATCCGTAATTGCAATACTAAATCGAGGCAATTGGGTTATGCAATAATACGCATTTCGATAATACGCAGTGCACCCGAGTAATATACTTTTATGCATATCGTACGGGACTCTAGCGATCTTCACTCTATAGTTATACTGCTGTTTCTGTTACGTGAGTTACGAAGGAAACGGGGAAATGTGACCCATTAATTATAACCACGATATTTATATATAGTTTAATCAAACCTTGCATACCATATATCGAAAGTTGATTCTCAGATTATTCTGTGGTTTTGTATCAAGAGCCAAGTAATTATGTGAGCAAACAGTAGTCTCTCGAAATGGAATAAATCGATTAATTTTATTGCAATGATTTAGAATCCGCATCTGCAAAAGTATAGATACCTACTGTTTAATTATAATTACATCCACCCGTTAGGTCAGTAATTTAAATTGCCAAGAAATATCTCATTCACAAAATTTGTCGTTGAAAAGTATTTATCCAAGAACTCGCATAGTTCGTCCGTGTGATAGATAACTGCTAATACACAACATTTTGATGTCTCCTTCGCCCTCCGTAATCTGCATTATCGCCTGAGGCCCCAAGAGTTATTACATCAACTTGGAAAATACAAGCCATTCTTTCATAATTGCTAGGGGAATGCCTGAGCAGACGATCTATTTACTTAGAGGCCATGAATACATAGGCTTATGTACCTTACAGATTATTACCAAAGCCTATTGTAAACAAAAATAGCAGTTGTGGTCCTGGTCAATACACAGACTATTCTTAATGTTTACCGTAAATCGCCGCAGGAAAATTCCAGGGCAATGACATGAAATATGCCTTCTTTGTGCAGTTCTTGAATAAACTGCAGGACAAAGCATAAACATCCCATTTTGGAACAACTCTCTTCAAACTAGATGTAGAACATTATCGTTTTAGGGATAAATTAGTTAATCCTTTGATGCTGAAGCTTGTCAGTCTGTACCTCAAAGAAAAAATATCTCTACCTTATGAAGATCAACACTGAGAATCATGTGAAACCTAGAAATACAAAATGCAGCATTACTGATTCTTAAAGCAGCTGGTTTGTATTGTTGCCATTGTGCTTTAAAGTGTCAATAAATAATAATGACAGCAACAATAAAAAAGTAATTGAACTTGCAGGTTCAGCAAGTAGCAAGGAGCTTTACATGCCTACTTTGCCTAGTATAAGATCATATTTTGATGTGGTTAGCTAACAGCATTTATAAAAATGCAGTAAAACTGTCCCACTATAGGCCATGTAGATGCATGTGGGGAGAGCAGTAAAGCTCCAACTCATTCTTGACCTCGACACTAGATGGGGGGTGAGTGGTCAGCATCACACTCTGGCCGTGCTTTACCCCCAGGAAAAGACCCAGGTAACCATTGGATTGGAGGCTGGGTGGACACCAGAACTGGTATGGATGCAAAGGCTAGAGGAAAAATCCTTTGTCCCTGTCGGGGATCAAATCCAATCAGTACTTATAATAGAAAGTAATTTTAAACACTTAACCTGCCCTACCTCTTTATTTATGAAACAAATATAATCTCATATTCATGACAAATTTATCCTCCTACAGCTTTCACAATTTTTTATTGCTGGGACATTTTGCAAATGATTTTAACTGCAGGATGACATGTGAAATGTTGGTACATTTGTAACATTGATTAAAACCAAACTGTTTATTTAAATTTGGTAATAGTTTTATGACAGTCTGCAGTAAGTTCTGGGAGTGTCTGTAGAGGGTACATCACACACTACTGATGTGGTATTGGATTTTCTGCAGACTGTCTTCAGGCATTCTGTAATAAAATATTGGTATTACAAGCATCACAGTTGTGGTCACTTTTGTCCACCCCTAAGCCCAGACCTTAATCCCTGTCCCTCTTGTGAGGTTTCATGGAAAAGAAGTTGTTCCTGAAGAAACCATTACTCTCATAGACCTGAGAGACATGTCTGTCCAGTTGTGCAGGGAGATTTCCAGAGACGTGTTGTGTCATTAAAAACATTGATCCATGTCTCCGAGGCATTGTTCAACAAAATAGTTATCATATTAAATATGTGCTTAACTGAAGGCATTTTTCAAGAAATTCTGGATCAGGATTTACATACTTTGTAACATTTTATGCTTAGATATATTCATTTTATGACTTTATGCTTCAACATTTTGTGCACATTCTGAGTTCCTCTGAGCCAATGGCAGGATAGTATCTTGTAAGGCACCTTGAACACTGATTCCACTTTTTCTCTACCAATTGCATGTTTTCTTCTATCATTACTTCCATTTTATAGAGGTTTGAGGATGACAAGTCTCCAGTGTCTCACGTCACCATCACATATCCTGTTTGATGCCTCGTAACTTATGAAATTGGTTATAAAGTAACTGAATAATCAACTTACATTTTTCAAGTTCATAGTTGAAACAAGTTTATTTCTAACAGTACTGATATTGCATGTAACCCTAACTTGATTGGGGTGTCATCTGTTTGCAGATCGTGTTTGTGTGACAGAAAAATCAAACAGGAAGTATAACAAGTACTGTCCGCTTCTTGAGATGTATGGCAGTAAGTCAACATGTGTACTTGGAAACAGTAGGTAAGATGAGTAATTTGTGAGAACAAACATTCTGATCACAACACTGTTGCAGTATTCAGGAGGATATGTTTGGCTACTGATAACTGTCCCATAAACAACATTTTAGGTGGCGATATTGATTCAAACTCCTCATCCTAGGCAACCTCCTTGATACTGGCTTGCACCATAGTTCTGTGTCTAATTCATAATTATATTAAGAAATAATTTGATGCCAATTCGTTTTACTTATCAAGTTCAGGGTACAGATCTCTCATGTATATAAATTTAGTTTAATTTTTATTAAATTACTATCAGTTCTTGAATAGTCCACAGCAGAAATCTTGACAATAAAGGAATTAAATAATTTAAGACTCTGATTTGCATTCATATGCTATGATATTTCAGTTATTCTATAATTTAATTCTGAGATACACATTGTTTGTATTTCAGAATTGATTGCCTGAGGAAGGTACTACAAGGGAGAGCAGATTTTGGCCTCTTTCTGGCAGAGGATATTATTGTTGCTTCCAGTTACAAGAATCCTCATGTGTTAGTAACAGATGAAATCAGAATGTTAGATAGTAAGTGTAGATTTAAATTTTGGGCATTTTGGGATAAAGAATAGTTATTGTCCAGAGAGGAATGGTGTTAATTGTAACAAAGGCTGTCTGTATGTGGATTACATGATCCATGATTAAACATCTGTATGTGATTCTTAATATATTTGTATAATTAAAAATAATTTTATGAAAATATTTGCTGAAGTGCATGCTCATACACGTTTTACTATAGACTGTACTTACCAGTGGTAATGAAGGGTGTGGACAAAATGGGTGATGGCCCATGGCATCATGCTTTTAGGGTTCTCACAGTCCTTACACTTGTGCTTATATGTATCAGAATCGCCTTTTCTCCTTATATTGTTGCCTTATATGTGCACTTTTAATCAAGGCTGACAACAATAAAAAAGTAGTTTTAAAATTGTTAAAATTATAATAATTGAAATCACCTAATATGCCTTTTCGTGTATTTTTCTCTTAAGTTTCACCACAGTTCTCGTGATTGGCTCTGCCATCACTGGTGTCAACCATGATGCATTGTTGAACTGGACCATCTTTAATCATTCCTCTTTCACATCATTAAGTTGAAACAATAATAGGTGGTCATAGTTCCTCCACATAAACAGAGAAGACTAAAAAGCTGGTACATTAAATGTATAGCATAAACATTGTGTATTAATGTGTTATTTTTTTCTTAGCTCCATTTGAATATGAAGTTTACGCTGTTGTGAGGAAGAGTTCCAACATTACTAGGAAATCACAGCTACAGGGGAAGAAGTTCTGTCATTCAGGTTATGGTTATGAACCACAGTGGTCTAAAATTACATCAGAGGTAAATATATTTCAGGTACATCTGTAAAATAAATGTATCACATTTGGTCTCATAATATCTTATGTATCAAAAGCAATTATGTGAAGGAATTTAGGATTAATATACTGTCGCCTCACATAAAGTTTCTTGTGAGACAAAGTGTGTTTCCTTATCAGACTTAGCTATAAATAAATGAATAAAGAGAAATATAAGCATTAACTTCATTTTGAGAAAATTAGAACAAAAATTACTCTTTATTAACATAGTTCAGTAATGTTTTTAATTATCAGATGTAATCAAGAGCTAACTGGTACTTGCACATTATTGTCAAATATTTGTTACATTCAGACATGGCTTGACAGGGTATACTACATGATTAGATAAACAAATTTTCATCAAATTTCTGGTTTAGTCATTTTCCACTAACATCATTAGTAAAGATATTTTACTGTATCCATTGTAGTTAACTCTTTTGTCATTTATCTGACAGATTTTTTTTAACTCATTCATTTATTGATCCTAGAATTTTTAAAGGCTCTGATGTGTCTAAATTTGTATTATATCTAATCTAATTGAATGTGTTAAATCTGCAAGAATTTATTATTTTCCACACTGTTAATTTTGTTTTAGTATTTTGAAGCTCAGGTGGTAACACCAGTATGTGACGCAGACCTGACTGCTGTTGAGAACAGTCTCAAGTCATCATCTCAGTTCTTTAAAGCTGCCTGCAAAGCTGGACCTTGGGTTCCAGACCTTAAACTTGACACAAAGCTAAGTATGTTACACGTGATTAAAACGTTGTCAAGTTAACGAGTCTTCTCATGATGTCTAGAAGTTTTGTCACCTCTGAATTTTATTCCTCTTATATTTCCTACCTTAAGACTAAGTCTTCAGGAATCTTCATGGATGTTACTCTTAGTAATATTTGCAGGAAGTATGAAGTGTGTTTGAACCCTAAATCAGTGAAGTAAGGCATAGTAAATTCATTCAGCTCTGATTAGTGGTACTGATATTAATGAAGATTTCTGTCTTCTGGGTTGTTGCGCTGTGTAGTCTGGTCGATGTTAACCAACGTTTCAGAGGTCATACTGCCTCCGTCATCAGGGCGATGAATATTCAGAGCAACAACCCAGAAGACAGAAATCTTCATACTCACCGCTGTGAGAACCTCAAATCTTACACGTTCTTAATGTTACAATTTCATGATGACATGGTTTTTAACATTTTCCAGAGCAAACATATTCCAACCTGTGTAAGTTGTGTGGTAACCCGTCAGAGTGCTCAGTGTTCGACAAGTACTGGGGAGCTGTTGGAACTCTATACTGCCTGACAGATGGTGCTGGTGATGTTGCCTGGGCAAGGCTGCCAGATATTGAAAACCACTTTGGAATTAATGGTGAGGAGCCAGCTCAAGCTCCAGCAGAAGAGTACAGCTTTTTATGTCAGGATGATAGGCTGGCTCCTCTGGATAATCCAGAGAATTGTGCGTGGCTGTCGCGACCTTGGGCAGCTGTGATTGCAAGGAGGTATGACACGAGAGAAAATCAAAATTGGATACAGTGGAAGTAAGATAAATAATCAAATTAATATAAGAATGCATGACTGCTGATGGATTTTGAAAAATAATCTGTTGATGGCTGATTACAGGATCAAACACACTAGATTTTTTAAAAATGTGGTATAATTTTGTTATGTAACAATAACTACAGTTGTATATGACAGGATTTATACATATGTTATTGAACCATAGTACAAAAATCATGGAAAGAATTATTAAAATTATTACTTTTTTGACGTTTCAGGTTTTGATCCAATATACTTTTACAGGTGATTTAAAGTGTTTCATGAAAACGTTGATGTCTGTCTGCATGTTGTGAAAACCTGGAAGAGCAATTATAGTAATTTAGTTCAGCTTTAATAGCCATTAAAGAATTTGTGTATTAATAACTACATGCTTCTCGAAGAAGAACCTCTCCAGCAGTGTTTCATCTGCAATAAAATGTACATCACAAGAAATTTAATATCATTCACAATTTTCATTTATACCATGATATATTATGTTACAGCATTCAGTGCAGAATATGCATGTTTTCTTGTAAATATACCTTCAAACTACATTGTATATTTATGTGTATGTTTGCAGAGAGGTAGCTGAAGGTGTGCGAGAAATATTGCCATTTTTGAAGAATGCAAAATATCTGTCATGGCAGTGGGCTCTGGAAGAGCTACTGGAGATACATACACAGACCATTGAACCTTTAGATTCAATGATGGTGCCTGAGGACTATTTACAGAATGGTAACATCCTATTAAAAAATAAAAAAGTAAAGTCTGAATTGTCTATGGTAGTGGAAGTGAGAATCAGGATGGATAATGCCTGACTGGAGATAACAAAAATATAATTGTATAATTTTTTTGGTCATATTATTTATTATAGTGGTTAGAAGTCGTTTTAATATCTATTTGTCAGACAGTAGTAGCCAATCATACAGAATTCTATGGAAAGTATTTGTTGAGTCAGTAAGATGCATGTATGTGTGTTTATGGTGATTTTGTGTGACTGGACTGACTAGGTCTCTGGTAATCACCTTCAGATAATTTTATATTGAACCTGCCTTTATTTTCTTAATTTGACTTCTTGTTAACACTGATCACTTCTGTTAAATTCACATTTATCTAAGTTAATCTTCTTCTATGTCTCTCTGGTCCGTATTCGGTCCATGGCCTCCTCAATTCTCCTCTTCCATTTAGTCCTCTGTTAGGTCCGTATGTCCGAGGCTTTGATCGAGGTTTTGAAACATATGGTGCGAGGTTGTGAGCCTTGCGACCAACCCCCACCCTGGAGGACCAGGGTACCTGTCTTAGTCTGACCTCTCCTCCTCGACCAATCTGGCTAGGGAGGCCCTGCCAGTAGCTATGCTACTGCCAGCGTAGCTCTTGGGGTCACTGAGGTACTCAAGCCCCACCACCACAACAAGGTGCAGGAAGTATTAATGTGAGTTTAATACAAGTAGATATAGGTAGGTTTCTGTTGTCCTCATTTTTATTGTGACAGCAATTCTTTGTTTAGCCCACGGCTTCCTGAGTGCCAACAACTTAGCACATTGTGAACCATCTGGTAAAGTACGTATCTGCACCAAATCTAGTGCAGAGATGAACAAATGCGACTTGTTAAAAAGAGTAGCCAAGATATATGGGATAGAACCGCAGCTGGAATGTCTTGAGGGACTGAATGCAGAGTTATGTATGAAAGCAGTGCAGTCAGATACTGCAGATGTGATCACAACTCAACCCGATGATCTGTTTGTTGGTTACAGGTAAGCAATTTTACAATATGGCTTGCCATTATATAAGGTTCTGTTTTATGTGAGGTGAAGAAGCATAAGGATCAACAATGACCTTGGGTTCACATTAGTGCAACAGTTACATATGTGATATACTAATAAGTGTACAGATAGGTGTAGTAAAATAGTTCTTCTCAATTTAGTTTTGACATATATTTTAATTTGTATTTGTTTTTTGATGTAAATACGTCTGTATGGAAGGGTCACTCAGCAAAAACAGCGTTAGTTACGAAGATCCAGTGCCGAGTCACCTTTAAACGTTCATTCCTCAGGATTGGTAAGAGTAAGAGTAATGTAAGCTATATGTAAAATGATCAGTAAATAAGGACCTTTAAGAATCTGTAATATATTTTATTGTATTTATAATTGTTTATACATTTATTGTAATTTTAATGAACCAATGTGTAAAATTTTCAATGCATCTGGCGCGTTAAGCGCCCGCCTCTTGACAACCGTAAGAGATGGATCTGGAGAATTTGTGTACGAAATACGTATTACCTCTTGAGCTTTCCATATCTGTTTTCAGATTTCACATATCACAAATGGTTTAGGTTCTACAAATATTTATTTATACAAATAAAGGCGCATCACACTTCATGCTACTGCTGCGTTTGCGTATTTACGTCAGATTTTCCGGAACCATGGTCCCACTGTCAATTTTTTGTTTTGTTTCAGAGAATTTGGTTTGAAGCCATTATTATATGAATATACAAAAAACCTTACAAGTATTCATAAAGTTGCAGCAGTTGTGCATACAAATTCTCCAATAAAGCATATTGATGATCTGAAAGGGAAGAGGGCATGCTTCTCTGTTTATAATGGAGTTGGTGAGTATTAAATATCTTAATGCCTTGTCTGTCACTCTGTAATATCTAGTTTGGAAATTTCTCCATGGTGAGATTTCAGCAGAACATTTCTAACCTACAGTTTGTTGCATTATTTATACATGTTGTAATTGTACATAAACAATGCATATTTTTTGCAGAATGTACTGGAACCAGATTCCAAATTTTTTTTTTGGCCACAGATTAACATATGTTTTTACTTTAAGTTACAATTCTAATGGACTCTGAATACACTGCTGCATAAGCAAGGAAATATTTTAACATGTAGCAACCCACTTGTATCTTCATCTTAGGAAGGGTAAATTTGTATTTTATTGTTTGATTGTACAGAAGAATACAACACTGAACCATAATTAAAAGAATCATTAACCTTAAAATTTATGTTGGATAATGTGCCTAGGAGGTTAACATGAACATTTTTTCCTGATTTTGTATGTAAACGGTTGTTTACTGTATCACAAAAGATGATCATTCTTGACTGATTGGTTATGCAGCATGAAAAATGGCTTGTTGGTGATTAATACTTAATTGGAAAATGTGTCAAAAGGAAGTGGTCATTTTTTTCTATTTTAAGGCACTGCCCGAGCATTATAATAGAGGGCCTGAGGATAACCGTGAAGAACCTCAGTTTTTGTTCCCACATTTAAACCTGCTAATCCCCAGATACAAAGCAAGATTACTAACTGCTTTCTCAGTGTGCTTGATTCTGAACTTTGAAACAGATGTAGTATTGATTTTACATGAAGTGAATCAAACTTGATTACTTATGAAATTGATTTTAGTTCAAACATGTATTTGTTATTGAAATATTGTTATAGGTTGGAATTCCATATTAAGTGTTCTCAGGAATAAAACATTGGTTTCGTCTACATGCTCTGGTAGTACAGCATTAGGGGAATTCTTCTCGGAAAGTTGCGCGCCGGGGGTAAACAAGTCACGCAGCTTTCCTTCTAACTTGCAAGCCTTATGTGAAAAGGGTAAGCTTGTAGAATTAAACTGGATAGTGCAATGTAATAGAATGGACAAAATATAAAATTCAGAATGGTACAGGCTTTGATAAGAGAGTATTTTGAATTTTGCATTGTCGGAGTAAAGGAAAGTGAAAATGTTTAAAAAATTACACCAGCAAATCTGATACTAATTTGTACGTGCTGGAATGGAGAGTGTTGGTATTTATCTGATCATGGTATGTAGATGAACAAAAACATGCTGTGAGAAAGAGATCTAAATTTTTCATAGAAAGATGTGGGCATGTGGAAAAAGATAATATTTAATGAACAGACACGCTACATTACAAAATAAATCGAATTAACTGCTGGATGTTTATAGTGTGTATTTGCCTGTGGCTGGATACTTTTAGTTTTCATGTTAATATTGTCATTTTATTTCTTGCAGGCAGTAAGGAGTTCAGTTTTGTAACTCTATCCAGAGTTCAAATGTGCTAGTACTTCTGCTTTTCTAGTTTTTGTAAAGAGGTGTAAACAAGAATACAGATTTAATAATTAAAGATACTTAATCTTTTTGCATGAAGTGCAAGACTTTCGGTGCTTTGTAATAATGATTCAGTTATTTTTGTGTGAAAGAGGCCCCAAAGATAATTGTGAATTGTGGTGCTAGGAATTAAAAAGATTAAAAGCATTCTACTTATATTTTGTGTTCTAGATTTCTACAGTGGTGAAGCTGGAGCATTTCGTTGCCTGGCAGCTGGTAAGGGTGAAGTGGCTTTCATTAAGCTAAGCACAATAAAAGAATATACAGGTAATGCCAAAAGACAGAGCTTATCACCTATAACTTCATAACAAATAGCTGCATATTCCATGCACCAATCATTTAATTATCCTATCTTTGTCAAGAAATTCTACCTTTTATAATCATCTTAGGATAGAATATATTATGATTTATGTATTGTTGTTCCTAGATGGTGCCAACAATGAACCATGGACTGTGGGTCTGAAATCTAACAGTTTCAGAGCCCTTTGTCTTGATGACCAGACTGGAGAGTGCTATCTTAGCTGGGCAACTCCAGGACAAGTAAGAATTGCTTTAGTTTTTGTTTGTTGAAGTGGAAAAAAGATTAAAATTTTAAAGTCTTATCTCCTTCTTCTTCTTCTATGGCTCTCCGGTCCGTATTCGGTCCATGGCCTCCACAAATCTTCTCTTCCATTCGGTCCTCTGTTAGATCCGTCTGTCCGAGGCTTTGATTGAGGTTTTGAAGCATCTTCCTTTTTACAGTGCAAGGTTGTTAGCCTTGCGACCAACCCCCAACCTGGAGAACCAGGGTACCTGTCTTAGTCTGACCTCACCCCCTCGACCAATCTGGCTAGGAAGGCCCTACAAGTAGCTATGCTACCACCAGCATAGTTCTTGGGATCATTTAAAGTCTTATTTGGACATAATTATCTACCTAGTATTGGATAAGTGAGACTGAAGAATATAAAGCTATAAATTAGTTTCCTTCAGTTTATTGGTTATTGCTTTTTACTCACATAAGATGTTAATTTCTGGCCATTGTCATAATTGCTAAATAGTTTGAAAATGTAATACATTTTACCTTTAAAGCATGCCTTTGGCTTACTTTAATAACTTTGTGTGACTGAATTTAAACATTTAGTTGGAAGGAGAAGGAAATAATTAAAACGTATCAACATGACAGAAGTCTGTTCAGTATTCATTTTCAGTCTTACTGTTCCTAAGTACTGGGTTTGTTGTGTAACTTCCACTAGAACAAGATTTTCTTGATTTCAGGTGTTAATAAGAGCTAATACAACAGACTTGAAGAAGAAAGAGATTTCTGTAGCTTTAATGGGACTTGGAAACTTGTTTGGAAAGTATCATAAGGGACGAATGGAAGAGTTTCAGATGTTTGCTCCATTTGACAATGAGAACAATGTCTTATTTCAGGCAAGCATTATTGTATAAGTGTTCAGTTATAAGTGCAACATTGTTTTATCATATAGGATGATTAGACCCTGAAGATGGCAATAGCGTTATTTGCCAAAACATTGGATAATTCTGAACATTTTATATGGCTTGTATCCAAAAGTTTGGGTTAAATGCAGCTATGAAATCTAAGGGCAACACTAATATAATGTGATGCAACAATTTAATTATAATAATGTTTTTGTGTCATTATTTTACAGGATGTGACATATCATTTTGAGGAATACTCATTACTTCAAGAGGGCAAAGAAATGGATCATAACTATGAAAGAATGGTTGAACTGCCACAGTGTTCATCTGCACACACTTTGGGGTTTTCAAGCATGTCTTTACTGGCATTCCTACTCCTGCGTTTGATCTCAGTCTGAAAGTGAATATAAGAATTTTTCAAGCTCAGGGATTTTACTCTGCTTGATTTAAAATTTTGTAATATGTTTGTAATAAGTGGATTTGTTAAATACATTGTACTAAGAAGGAGTAGTGTAAAATAATCAAAGTTGTATGGAACAGATATGTTTAAATGTAAATATAATTAAAAATCAATATAGTTGAGAAGAAATAATTCAGAAAGTACTCTAAAATAGCTAAATGAATCACTTTGCCATGTTGTTTAACCCCTGGCATTGGAATGTCAAAGTAGGCTTATGACTGAAGATTGTGTCCGTACTGGACAATATCAAGGCAGGTCTGTGACCAACAACTTACGATTTTTTTCTCAGTTGTTACCAATAAATGACAAGCAAGTGTGTGAAGATTGAAGTCACTGCCTTGTTCTGATTGTCACATAAAACTTTTCTTTCTTCATCACATTAAAAACACATTTCACATTTAAAATAATTAGTGTTATAACACAGTACACATTTTAAAATATCACTCCAGGCAGAGCAGGTAACCAATTTAGTGCTAACACTAAGAGTTACTTTACTGCATCCAGACACTAACAGGCTGAAATGTATTAAATTTAAATCCCTGTTATACAGTATGCTTTTGTGGGTTGAGGATGGCAAGGAACATTTAATTTCATCATGTTCTGCTGCATTAGATGCAGCAATGGGTTATTGCTTACAAATACCAAGGTACGAATAACTTTCAAGAAATACCATGTGAACATAGACATTTCTTGACATCAGTAATACCAGAAAGTTACAACAAAGTTCTGTCAATTCTTTATTTTTAAGTTATCTGTTTAATAGTATATATGCTAACACTTTTTAACATATGAATCCAAGAGGACATGATATATCCTATGAATACAACTTGTTTATATATCTTTGCAGAAAAGCTCCATTTCAGATTATGTAATTTCAGTTGAAAGTTACACAGCCACAACTGGAAATGTCATTGATATATCTTCCCCTATTCCTGCTTCCATAACATCACTAGGTCCAATGGGACCAACACCAGCAGGTGATCCAGTGAGAATGAGGTCACCAGGTTCTAGGGACATGTATTGAGATATATGGCTGATTAGTGATGCAATGGGGAAAACCATGTCTGAAGTGGTTTCATTTTGTCGCAATTCACCATTTACTTTGCACCAAATTCGTACATTATTAGGATTCTGTATCTCTTCACAATGAAGAAATCTACTCACTGGACATGCTGTATCAAATCCCTTGCCAAATGTCCATGGTAAGCCATTTTCTCTTATTTCTTTCTGTAATAAAACAACTTGCTACAATAAAAGAATTGCATATTAGCATAGTAAATGTTAAGACACAAATATACAGGTTGTTAAAACTATATGAAGCGATTAAGAGGCATCAAATGTTTATGTGTGCAATATGGTCATCATTCAGAAGCATGGCAATTTTGTCATTGACAATGTAAATCAAGACATCATAAAAGGCTGCCAAAAATTTGAAATGTTGCTAGAAGCCACATGATCAAAAGACAATAACCACCTGGAAGCAGGTGGGTCTCTTACAGAAACCCTAAACTTTGAATTATAGGATCATACTTGACTAGTTACATTATAAATTTCATCAGTGTGTTTAGTTTTGCTAATATTTTTGTAATATGTTTGATGGAACTAAAATAATGTGAAAATCATACCATTAGCCTCACTTCTGTCAGGTCTAGAGCTAGACAGTACCCTCCCACATACTGCAGGCTCTGTGATTCAGGGATATTTTTGCATCTCTGTCCAATGATTACTCCCAGTTCAACTTCTTCATGCACGACAAACCCATCTGGAATCTATAAGCATATCAGTCCTGCTATTAGAGCAGCAGCTGGACAGTAGTAAGAAGAAAGAGAAAGAAGCAGATCTCAGTATACTGTAAGGTGTCTCAAAAGTCACTTTGTTTTCAATTTGAACGTAAATTGAGAATTAAAATATTTCTATATTTGTAATGATGCTTATTTATTAATGTGTATCTTACTAGAACATTAAAATATTACTGAAATCTTTTTTACAAAGTAAATGTCAGCTTAGGCCTAGGACAGGGTCCAGTGGAGGGCTTTTGTTAATTCGGTGATGAACCTCTGGGTTATGTATGCCATTTAGTTAGTTAATGTCAGCATAGGTTTCAGCCTTATAAAAATTTTGTAATCCTACCAGTACATTTCTAGCAGAATTATCAAGAAGTCACATGGTACATTAATTACCAAGAATATATCAAGTGTGGCCCTTTGCTTTGATTTATAGACTACTACTTGTTCCCTGCCCTACAATAAAGGGGGGGAGGAAGCTGCTTATTGTTAAATGTGGACTTAGAGCAGGTGATCATGTTGCCCTTTAATGACATATTCCAAAACAAAAAGAAACTAATACTTACTTCAATATTCTGACCCTCAGTAATATATGATGAAGTTGGCTTCAGAAAAATAACTGGCTCTTTTGGTAAAGGGAGTTTTCTTTCAGTCAAAAGAGACCTGCAACATGAAAATGTATTTTGTAATTATGTTCCTCTACTTAGTACTTTCAGCTTGTTCATACTCTATTACCTAGAAAGCTTTGGATTAACTTAACACTTAATAGTACTGTGTATATAATTTAAAATTTAATTATTTTGGTTATTGTTCTCAGAAGCACAAGACAAATTAACCAAGAAGCTGTTTATAATTTCAATGCCCCTATGCAATTTACACATTCATAGAGAAGTATACAATCCATCAGTAGTTTGTAATATTCCTTTATGATCTTGAAACTAAGAATAAACAAAAATCAGTATCATACTTGGTAGTAAATGTAACAATCTTACTAAACTTAAAAACTGAATGCCTAATACACATGCTACACAAGCATACCTATAATTTAATCCTGCACCAGCAATTTTCTTTCCATATCTCACAAAATGTTTAAGTTCTGCAGTTGCCATGTTCAGTTTAGAAACAGAATATCTCTCTGAAGCTATGTTGGATTGTGGCCAAAAATATCTCTGCCTTGTGATAAAATGTTACTTAATATTTCTAATATGGAAAATAAATATCCATCATGTAGTCTATCATTTAGGTCATTAATACTTATGATTAGATAAGGTCTAGTTTTTTCTTTATATATAAATATTTTTATTGGTAGTTAAAATTAGATTTAAGAGGGAATTAAGAAAACAAAGTACAGTTGTCTATATCTTTTATCCAGTTACAGATAGAATAAGCACGGGAGGAGGAAATATTTTCAGTTCCAAAACCTTGTGCACTTTAGATGATTATAACAATAAACTGACAAGCAAAACATATAATTACTTCCTATGAGCTATTGCATGTATGAATGAAGATGAAAATCATTGTCTTTCTGGGACAGAAAATCTTAAATATTAGATTACAAGTCTAAATATGCAATATTACTGGTACTTAAAGAAAATTCTTTCTAGTGGTATGCAATGTTTGCCACACCAGCATTTTCTTATTATAAAACAGAAAAAATTGAAAGCTTGCCAATACAATTAGGAATAATGAAGGTTGAAATACATATATCATTTTTACCTTTCTTATTTCTAAAAATATAAGTTTTTTCATAATATTTTTTATGGGGTGCCATTAATGTATACACATTTTTATGTATAAACTACTGTAATCACACAGATGTGAGTCAAAATGAATTATTCTAATGCTACCTTAAGTTACATCTATAGCAGATCATAGAATCACATGTTACTAATATGAATGCTCCTAAACTTCTAAGCATCTGCCATAATCCTAAATATTTTATTTTACAAATAATTTCAGTGTACTGAATGTGTGGAACACACAAAAACGAGTTTAATATCTCACTCCTACTCCATAGAAGAATTTACCTTAACCAGAAATCCTCAATTATAGTAAATACATGCATTGATTGTGATACCTTATTGTATGATTATTTTTGTAAACTATGAACTGTAAATGGTTGTCACAACTTTGTATTTATATTTGTAGTAGCAATAAGTATTGTATCTGTGCTATGACATGTTCTACATCGTTAACTTAGTCCTATGAAGGATCTGTGGAATGTAAACAGATTCTGTTCTGTTCTAATCTATTCTTATTCTTCTGCCCTTCATTGAAATATGAGTTATGAAGAAGTAAATTCCCTATCTCTGCTCTACTGGGTACCACTAAGATCAGAATAAAATTAACCATGAAATTGCTTAATAATTTCTTTGACCTTCTATGATATATTGATATTGAAGCTTTTAGGAAAATTATTGACTTTTCTGTAAATGATAGTCATTTCCTTGAATGTAGCAGGACCCCAAACTATAAACATCTTTGTACTCTGTGAGACTGTTAGTTTTCATGGCGGAGAACATGAAGGGGGCTGTCTCGTAGAAATTTACTGAAGTTAAACATCTCTGAAACATGGGCAAATATAAACTAGACTACAGGATGCAACAACTCAGGAGACAGACGTATACATTCTCATACTGTTTCAAGGAATATTACAGTGAATCCAAGTACTTTCTTTTTGAATGTCATAAGCTCAGTAATATTATATTTACAATGAAAATGCAATTTTCTCTCAAATATGCCGCTCAAGTATTTTCTTTTTGAATTTCATAAGCTAAGTAATATTATATTTACAATGGAAATGCAATTTTTTCTCAAATATGCCGCCATTCGTGTTTCGCGAAAAGCGACCTCATTTGTCTTACAAATCTACCAACTTGTAATTGGGGATCCCGTGAATGCAATGAATTGTGAAACAAATTTTGGCCATAAAATGTTAGTAATAATACATGTTTATATACCTTTTCGAATTTAAACTTTCGTTTTAATAGTTATTCTGTGGTTGTAAATACGAACGTACTTGAAGAAAGAACAAACATAACAATATCCCGAAATTTACAATCATTATTGGCTACCCTGGATTTCGCTACCAGAGCGCTATCTGCACAGGTCAATGACGTCACAACATAAATTGAGATATTGACTTCCTGTGTGAGGGAGTGTTGATGATTGTCTTCTATTTAGGATATATTTTAGTACGTGTGAGTGCGTAAACAATGCTTAAAATGGAAACGGATAAAATTATTGAAGACACCAATACTAATTTACAGGTGAGAGCAGTACATTATTCTTTTGTTTTATGAAAAAGTGCGTGAGTAGTTTAAGCTATATAACAATCGCCATCTTGCAATTTTGTACCTTTGGACGTATGGCATAAGTTTTTTTGTGTGTGTTAATGTAAATGCTGTGAAGACTAATCTGATTAAGGAGCAAGTATGTATTTTAAAATCACTGCCTTTAGAAATTTATTGAAATCTGAACGCTTTTATAATAACATGGATTACTCGTTACGAGAAAGTTATGGGTGCACGTTGTTTCTGCTGCTACTACTACTAAATGTCAACCGCTGTCTAACCGTCACACCTGTGTTCAAATTTTACAGTATAGTATCCAAATCCAGCAGGTGTTCACACAAATCACCTATTATGGAGTTTTTCTTGGTAACAGGAAAGTTACCCCAAAATACAGAGCATTTTAATGACAGTGCTCATTTGTTAACCAATTCTGAGTGATTGTTTGTGATCCATTATTTCCAGTTCTTATCGCCGCATTTCAACTTCATAGGTTTTGTAGTGTCGAATGGTATGATAGTGTGAGTTGGACAGGTTGTGAATATGAGCCACATGGGATAAATGAGAAATTCGTCCAAAATTTATGTTGTAAAACCCAAAGGGAAGAGATGGTTTGGAAGGTGTAGGTAGGCATAGTTGGGTGAATGGTATTAAAATGGATTGTGAGGAAACTGGATGGCATGATCTATACTGGATTTAACTTTGAATAGGGGTTACTAAAAATTTGTCTCTGCCCTTTGAGTTTGAAGTTTTGTTTAGTGTACACATTAAGTAAGTTATAACTTCTCATTCAGTACTGTGAAGGACTTCGTCACTGATATAGTTAGCATCATTATTTCTTTAGAAATGTGATGAATAGAGTAGAGTAGAGTTGAGTTGAGTTGAGTTGAGTTGAGTTTATTTGCATTCCATAGATCCTTCTTAGAACTCAACCAAAGGATGTAGAACATGTCATTTCATACAATATACATACACTTCAGAACTTTCAACACAAGTACAAGAACGTATTTCACATATCGATGTACATAAATTTCATATTCTGCAATACAAGTATGAAAAATAATTTTACAAATTAATATACATAAACCTCAGAATTTTAAATATAAATACAAAATTTGCTTTACGTATACGTAGATTATGGATATAAAGCTTAAATATTTTCAGCAGAGATGAAATCATCTACAGAATAGAAGGAGTGAGTAAAGAGGTAATCTTTCAATGCAGGCTTGAATACCTTTATATCATAATTTAGACTTTTAATTGTTGATGAACTATAAACATGCTCTATCCACACTTTTGTTTAGGTGGTGAGGTAGTATGAATAAGTTGTTTTGGTATAGAAGTGATGTTACTACCTAAATATGCATTAGGTAATTGCTATTACTACAGCAAACCTATACCAATTATTCTTTCCATTATATTAGGGGTTCCTAACCTTTCAAGACTGGCTATACTCACCCTCAGTGATTGGCAGCTACCAAATGAGGGCAAATTTTTGAAACTTAATGGTAGTTTATTATAATACTAGGCAAACAAGTTCACATATTAGGTCTAATCATTTATTTTCTTTAACAGATTTGGTGATTTCTTCGTATTTACTATTCATGTAAAATTACAATAATATTTAACCTAGTAGGTAACTGTTTCTTTATCATACAGGCTTTTGTAATTTTGCAAATATGTTTATGTTGCACAAAACACATTGGCAGAATGCAAATTGGGAACTCTAGGGCTGTGTGATATTCTGATTCATATTTCTGGAGAAATGCATGACATTTTCTGTAGTTACATGCAACTGATATAGACCAGTATTGATATGTTATATCCCAGGCTAATTTCTTTGAATTATTGTACGTTTACAATTTTTATTGTTATTTGTTACTTTTAGGTTGTCATGTAGTATGGTTATTATGCAAGAGGGAATCTGGGCTGCTGTTTATCACTTATGGGGTCATATTGTCCCTGTTGAATTTTGTAGTTTCACTGCACTCTTATTTTTTTGCAGAGATTTTGCTTGCTCTTTGATGTTATTTTTATTGATTATATTTGTGTTTGGTCATTGGATGGTGTTAGTGACACAAGGGCTTGCAGTGAAAAATTAATGTTATGGTGTGTTAATACATATATTTCTCCTGTTATATCTTGTTGGACATGGGTGTTTGTCTCTGATAAGTGAAAATATCATTGTGCTGTGATGGAATATCTGTAATGCATGGTAACCCAGAGGAACAACTTTGACATCTTTGCTGTTGTGGGAACCTCAAATCTCACATATTTGTACTGGTTTAAAGTAGAGCAGTTTGGTGTTGATATATAACATAGCAAGTAACAAATTTTAGAATACGTTGCTCACATAAAATCACACATGGGTGAGTATCCAAACAAGTACCTGTGTACATCATTGAATGTAAGTGAAGTTATGGAAATTCATACAGAAGTCAAATAATGTCAGTGTATAGTGATTGGTGTGATCTTACCAGATGCCTTTGCGATGAGTTTTTCTGTGATTTGTATCAGTTTCTGCTCCCAAGTGTTGGGTATGTGTATGAAGTTATGTGCCACTGTTTTCTTCCACATCCTCTTCATTCATAATAATTCTGTAATTGATATGTATTTTACATGTAGAACATGTATTTTGATTATAAAGCCTTATATTTTTATCATTACATAAGTCTTATGACACTGAAAATATTTTCTTAAAATCCTGAGCTGTTATCTGAAATGAATGTCTGCTTCATCTCGTAGTTGCACAGATGAACTGTTTTTCCTATAGCAGTCAGCATATTTGGTTTTGTCATTGGGATGGAGCATGTCAGAATTACAAAAAATCTTGCAGGCCAGGATCATAATATAAATATTGTGAATAACTAATTCAAAACTGTGCAAAAGTTGAAATAGACGGACTTAAAAATATTTTGGAACAACAATAACAAAACAACTACATGCACTATGAAATTAGGAGTAAATATGCTTTGGAAAATGGTGAATATAAAAAAATTGCAGAATCTTATATCACTTTAGATCACTTTATTTGCAAAAGTATTGGCAATTAATATGATTTAATCGTTTACAAATTTGTGAAATAATCTTATGAAATTAATTAAATATAAATTACTCGTATAATTATTCCGCCAGCAAACTTAATTGTTAAAATGTCATTATTTTCTGGACGACTGATTTGCGGACTTACGTTTATTGGACCCTCAAATCGACCCCCAGAACACGTCTTTGAGCTATGGATATCCTATTATTATTGTCTTTTATTTTCAGTTGTTATTGGAAGTTGTCGGGAAGTACCCGAAGAACTCAGCGAAGTTCACGTACTTGCTTGTGACATTATAAAACTTATGTTTTTGCGAGAGCTTGGTTTGTATTGCAGCTCCATGTTTGTACAGTTTATTAGTACGCTTTTGTGGATTTTCGTTCGATATGAGTTGATCGTGTCCTTGTTGAGATACAGTGCAGTGTTCACCTCGGCGAGGAAAATGCAGGAAATCAATAATGAGTACATGGATTTCCAAGGGACGTAATTGCTTTTGGAATTCCATTCTTCATTCTTCTTGACTGTTTAATTACAATTTTGTTGTAAATGTTTTTAGGAGCAGCACTGTTTGTTCATTTTCCCTTGGAAGTAATAAAATGATTGGTTACATTTTAGGTCTTCGCGGTGACGAGTGTTATATATGTTGACCGAAGTTGAGGTGTTTCCAGCCTGTATCGGCAGAGTAATTAGCTCATCTGAAACGTTAGTCGGTATTTATCTGACTACAGGTTGTAACATCCCAGAATAGTCATCATCTTGTTGAAACAGATGCCGCAGAAGACGGCGGACTGGTGATATTTTGTCTTGCAGATGGGGTCAAAGTTAGTTTCGTTATAGGGATGAGAGAGAATTCCAATCGAACCTGTCGACGTAACATGAATCAGCACTGCGTTCTTGCGACACAGAGCAATGAACCACCTTATCCGCTTCACGGTTGAGATAGCTTGGAAACTAAATCTGTCTACCTGACGCCGGGGTCCTTGGCTTTACATATTTAAAATTTAGTAAAACTCTCGAAAATGAATCATTTGCCTAAAGCACTTTTTCTCGAAGTTACATAAAGTTGCGAAAGCCTCGAGAGAAAGCTGACAGGAGCAGTAAGTGACTGTCCTTGTCACCTCGCTGTGTTCCTTGCTGTCATTACTGCAGATAAAATGGATGCGGGAGTCGTAGAATGGAATTTCTGGAATTGATAGCTTCTTCGCAGAAGGCCCTAGCAGTACAACACTGCACTGTGCAGCCTAGTCAGCGGTGGGGTCATTTATTCCTTCGTCATATATTTTTTCTGGGATCCTACTTTAGGCCTAGGTCGCGAGTATGCCAGCCCTTGCCACACCCACTTAAACTTCTGCCCTTACATTTTGCGCAGAAAGAGACAATTTTTATAGCTAAGTGCATAGAGTTCTCATAGTAGCGCAGTTATTTAATAAACGCCGTTCTTTTTATGGGGACCGAAGGCTTATTACTGTGTTCACAAGAGCGTGTCTTTGGTTACGATCCTGAGCCAGATGAATCCCGTTCACACTCTCCACACCCATTTCTTGAAATGTCAATTTCACTTTTTCCGACTGCTGTTTTGAACTGAACTCCCCAATGTTACGTACCTAGCTCATGCTTCTCGTCGTGATCATCTGAATGAGTACGAACTATGAAGTTCCGACTAATGCACGGTGTTGTTACTTCTTATTAGTTCGGAATGCTCAGCTCACCATTCTGTTGTCATGCAGCCAGAATTTACGATTATCCCCTAGTGAAAGGACAGGACCCGATACAAAACAGTAGATAAAATTGTTCTTTATGTGTTTTAATCTTTTAAGTACTTACGTGGGATAGGAACTTAATGGTAGCGATTGTATCCCCAAATTTAATCTGCTCGTCGTCTTCTTAATGCAGTTTTGATTTTTTAAATTTACTTTGACGTCATTTTGAAGAATGT